AATATATATATATATATATATATATATACAAACATACACAGTAAATAATAAAAAAAAATATATAACATATTTGTACATACAGGTTCAATATTTTGAGTGATGTTTATGCCATTAAGCGCGTTCTTTGCGGCGTTCTGCTTGGCCTCTTTCTTGGTTTTCCCAGTGCCCTCAGAATACCGCTGTCCGTTCACAACAGCCCTCATAGTGAACCTGACAACACAACAATGATGTTAATAGTTCATTGCGCTGTCTCACAGCAGCCCAGAAGCTGTTGACTCAATTCGACCGCACATCTACTGAATGAGTAAGAGTTGCACACGTTTTGTTGTGACTCGGTCCATCTGTGGATCCCTCCTCATACTCCACGCTGCACTGAGTCTTCTGCTGGTACTCGTTCAGCTGAGAAATATAATTCCCCGACAGAGACTCCATTGCACAGTTAAAAAATGAACTAAAAATAACAGTGACAGAAGTTCACTACGTTGATCAGCACGTGAGCGGCACGCAGAACGTCATATCTTCAGCGGACGGCCAATAAAAGACGCATTACCGTGTTTTTAAATCAATTTAACACGGTACTAACAGTGTCAGTTCACACCGACATCGATCACAGACACGAGTTCACTTTCATTTCTTCGTATCGTTCACTTTCATTTCTTCGTATCGTTCAGATCGATAAGTTTCGATTTCCGGAATGTAACGTCATCGCCAAACATTGTATTGACCAATCAAAGCCCAAGCGTGTTGCTAGGCCACACCCACCTAAAAATGGACCTCTTTTTAACCGCAGGAGACAAAGAACAATGTATTTCAAATCTGGCAAGTAACAGATAAATCAACAAAATATCATTCGTTTGATCTAAATGCGTAAAACTATACTATAAATATCAAACATAACTATAAAACCACAAGAAAATGTTAATACCTAGAGGTGTTATGTACAAAACCACTTTTTTAATATTTATATTTGTTTTAGACTGGGAATAATGAATTGTTGGTCATCTACAAAAATCACGGCACTTTCACACAGTCGACAATGAATTCATCAATAAAAAATAATTAAATTAATAACTATGCAATCACAATGTTTGCGATTGGCCGAGGTTAAGTTTAACACAGAACCATTTAAGTGATGCATCAGGGTCAACACTGATATAAAACCACACAATTATAATCAAAAAATCAATGCGACATTTAATGAACGAATATGAAAATATAAATATTAAACACAGCTATGCAAAACATCAAAAGCAAATTAAAAAGAAGTGTTCCAGATTATTCCAGGTGGCTCTAGTCGTCATGATCTGCTGCCGTGTCACCAGGACAGTTTGAGCTCAAATCCTCCTCATCTGTTGAAGAACAGTTTATTTATCATTTATGTATCTGCTCAAACATTCATTATACTGTACGTTAACACTTCTTACCATTAAACGCCGTTCCACACCATATGCAGTAAAAATGAAGTCCTCGCAGATACGAGGCGAGAAACTGCAGCTTGTCTAAAGGCTGTAAAGAAAAGACGACAGAATAACGGTGCTTCAGAATAATAATGCAAAACAGTACTATAATTTTAATGCACAGAGGCACAGATAAGGCACTTCCCATAATTACAGTTTTTCTCAATTGCTTTGGCTCAATTCTCGAATGAAACTTTTTTTTCCCGAAACAATCACACGATGACAAAAATACTTTATATTTTGGTGGCCTTGGCCAAATTACTGACACGATAACTAGGTTTTGAAGCATGAATGAAATGTTTTGGGTGAGTAACTACATTTTGCAGACATACAATAAAGTTCTGAAGTTCCAGCAAACAGCTGTGACATTTGCACTCACAGTTTAGAGAATGTTAAGATTGTTTCGAAAAATGTGCCAAAGCAATTGAGAAAAACTGTAAATAAGTACAATTTTGGTGTCCAATTACATGAGAATAGATATACGAGGTAAATTATTATCTAATCAAAACTGAATTTTCAGCATCATTACTCCAGTCTTCGGTGTCATGTGATAATGAAATCATTCTAATATGCTGATCAATAAACATTTCTGATTATTAATATTATTATTATCATCAATTTTTAAGGATTCTTTAATGAATAGAAAGATCCAAAGATCAGCATTTATCTGAAATAAAAAGCTTTTGTAACATT